AACTCTCCTATGATTTTAAAAAATATTAATAGCTCAAAAGTAGAGAATAAATTCTACCTCTATAATAAAATCATAATAAAAAAATTCTAATCCAATGAAAGAAATCATTATGTAATTATTGATATTTTATAAAAGTTTTTCTCAACAACAAACAAAAATATGACAAATTCTACATCTTTAGTTATTTTTCCTACTTCAATCATTATTTTTATTATTTATTTATCTATCATTGTGAGTCTCTTTATTGCCTTTTAGTTTGATACATAATTTACTCTCTTTGTAGATTTTGTAATTTTAAATTGCTAATATTCACAAAACTAAAGATAATAAAAAGATATTATATTAACTAGAAAATAGACAAGAGATAGAAAAATATATTTTTTTTAGGTTTTGTAAATTTATTGTCTTAAATTTAAAATTGTTTACTAAATTGAGGGTATTATAGGTATTTAACTATATCAAGAGAGATAAGTGTAATTTCTTAAACCTAAGAGAATCTGAGTGAAATTATTCCTTTTTAATTTCGTGAACGCCTGTACGGCTTTTATATTAGTTTTGATTGTCTACCATATCATGCATGGTTTTCATCTGGTCTGCAAAACTTTCAAAAGATATGCAACAAACTAAAAATATTACTACACAATTAATTGTTTTCCTTTGCAACCTCATATTTTTTCCTTTGACCAATAAAATAGACCTCTATATATATATATATATTTTGTATTTTTGTAATAAAAGATTTGGATGGATTTAACTCCGATCGCCACAACGAATTAGAACATACCCTTAGAACCACAAGTTTCTTACAAAGATTCTTATAGCTCGTCCATCATTGCAGTTCTCACACTAACAGTGAGATTTGAACACGCAAATTTTTTGTAAAGAGGTGATTCGTTCTTACTAAATTAGCCAACTTATATTGGCAACCTCGGTACATAAATCAATAAGAGTTAAGAGATCAAACTCATTACATTAACTAGTGATGCAACAGATTTTCAAGATTTCAAGATTGAGATAAAATATCCTTAAAAAAAAAAGGATTGAGATAAAATAAATGGAACAGGCCTTGTAGGATGGAACATGGATGGCTCTAGCTCCATGATACATAGATAAAGGCCAACACTTAGGTCAAAGTGTGTTTTGAATGCACATTATACACCTTATTTACACACACTGACTTGCTTGCATTATCAACATATTTTTCAATCACCTTTTTATCTCATATAAATCACATCAAAAAAATTTTACAATATGTTTTCACAAAATTATCTCAAATAATTTACTATCCAAACACACTCACTGTGTACTTCCTGAAAACTAGCTAATACTAATACTACCAGTATAAAAAAGAGTAAAAGACATTAAAAGGGTGATAAAATTTTGTGTTAAAAAAGAAAAGGAAAGAAAAAAGTTGATGAATTAGCAGGAAGGTGAACATCAGCACGTTAAAAGAAAGCAAAATGTGACTTGTGGATTGGGTATTCTTTTCTTCTTTTTGCTTGGTTCCGAAGGTGGTATGATGGTTACTTGGGCACTCATTTGATGACTCATTTGCTTCTCTTCAACATCAAATCCAGGCAGACACCCATCCCCAGTGGAGACCACGTTATTGTGATTTTGGAATTTGGACTGATTTTTTTTTTTTAAGGTTCCGAATAATAATTGGATCAAGTCTTCAACGTGCGTACATTCATGAATAATCAGAGATTTGAAGCGCGTGTATTTTTGGTGTGTGTTTCGATTAGATTTGAGTGGCTTCTTCTTTTTTTCTTTTTTTCTTTTTTTGCCCTTTTCCTTTTTTGGGGTTTAGATTTGAGGGCATTTTAAAGCAAGCCTGGGTATCGTGCATTCTGCAGAATTTGTCCGGCCACTCGCCATCGGGACCAGGAACGGCCTGACAATTATGTGTATTTTGCACACGTCGTAATTTTATCTGCACATAATTTAACTTACTTTTAATAACGTGTAACTTTAGAATAAAATTTTATGAATTTCACATATGTTATTAAAATCGAAATATAAAATGAAATATGAATCGTATAATTTTTTTTTATCAAATCTTGACCGTGAACTGGCAGGGACGGTTGGTCCCTCTTTCCTTTTTTTTTTTTTTTGTCGATACAATAGAATTCCTATAATCTAAACTAGCCTATTCTAGGGGGGAGGGGACTCGATGTGAGTAGAAACTCCATCGAAACTGATCAATGAAGACCGTCACATATTGTGACAAATTTTGTGAAAGGCAAGGTTCGAACCCTTGACCTTCCGCGACGGTTGGTCCCTCTTTCCTTTTTTTTTTTTTTGTCGATACAATAGAATTCCTATAATCTAAACTAGCATATTCTAGGGGGGAGGGGACTCGATGTGAGTAGAAACTCCATCGAAACTGATCAATGAAGACCGTCACATATTGTGACAAATTTTGTGAAAGACAAGGTTCGAACCCTTGACCTTCCGCACCACTAAACCTGAGAAGGCTTGGGATTACCACTGGGCCTTTGGTTGGTCCCTCTTCCCTCGTGATCGAGGTTCCTGACTGTTCTGTCAGGTGACAGCTGATGCGCTTTTTTTTTGGACCCTTCTGGAGTCAGTATAACGAGTGAGACGCACGTTTGGTATGGGACCTATGGGCCAAGTCCTAAGTTACGCTTCTGCTATATGTTCGTTCTTCTGCTACACAGCTATATTTCCATGGGCCTGATTAAGACTTCACCTCACCGCAAAGTATTTGGATTTGTAGGGACTGGTGTAGTAGGCCTATTTAAAAAAAGAAATAGAAAAAGAAAATCAAATTCTACATCCACATTAATCCGCAGCTGTAAACATCCACCTGCATTGATGACGGGTAAATAAGAGATGTCGGGTTAGACCGTGAAATGTCGTCAATTTCCTTGCAGAAACGAATGACTTCTTTCTCATATCCGTAAAAATTATTCTGGGTTGGTACCAAAATTCGACATATAACGAGCATGAGGTTTTCGGGTATATAATCATGATAAACACCTGCACTCTAGTTGCGTCGTGGCATTTTGGAAGCTTTTTGAAGCTCCAACATTAAGTTCAACTCATTTCTTAACATGTGTAGATTGATAGAAGTCAATCATCTCCAAATATTGGGCTTTTGTGTGTTTGGATAGTATATTATTGAGCTAATTTCATTAAAAAAAAAACACTGTAACACTTTATTAATGTGATTATGTAAAATAAAAAAGTGATTGAAAAATATGTTGATAATACAGGTAAGTCAGAGAGAGAGCGTGTAAATAAATGTGTAATTATTATTATTATTTTGGAGATAGCATTGGGCTTTATCTTTTACTACTACAAAAGCTTTTTACCGCATTCTTTGTTTAAAAAGGTGATTGTCCAAAGTCCAAATATTTCGCAGTTGGTGTTTACTAATGAATTTATCCATTGTAATTATCATATGGTACTCTTTTATTGTAATGCTTGTGCTGATATAGAAAAAGCCTTACCTTTTTTCAAAGGAAGAGCCAATTTGTTGGAGTCTCTACACTGAAAATACAAAATGCCAAGCAGCATGATCAGAAGCTGTAAGGAAGAGGAATGAGGGAAGCTTTTCTACAATTGTGAGGACAATGAATGTGGCGATATTAATTAGGAGTTCTTCTTTGACGAAACCTGGAACAATTCTTATAAATAAAGAAAAAAAATTATTGTTTAACCATCTACTTTTGCGATGCTACAGCACGCTCTTTCTTCTTTTTTTATTTTTTATTTTTTGGTGGTGGTGCGGGGTGGGGTCTGGTTTAGGGTGCGTGTTTTGATATCATTTCAGTGCTAGTCACATGCCCATTTCCCAGATCACGTGCCATTTTACCGCATCAGCATCATCAGACATTTGCACTGTCACCCAGTTCTGCCATTCCCCCAGTTTTGTGCTCTCTCTCTCTCTCTCTCACGCTCCATTTAAGCGCGTAAACGACCCTCTTAAAAGTACCAGCGAGTTTGTTTGTATTACAAATATATATAGGTTTGTTTGGATACCAAATTGTTTCAAATAATATATTTCATTTGCATCATAAATACAGTTTTTAACCCATTTTTTTATATTCTCAATCATCTCTTTTATTTCACATACATCATATCACAAAAAGTGTTATAGTAATTATTTCAAATAATATTTCAGATAATACTTTATCCAAACAGATCCATTATTTACACTTTATTTACACACACTGACTTGCTTGTATTATTAACACAATTTTCAGTTACATTTTTATCTCACATGCATCACATCAAAAAACGTTTTAGTTTTTTTTCACAAAATTATTTCAAATAATCTACTAACCAAACATAACTAGAAGTATATTTTAGACTAGGCAAAAAATTATGAATATGTTTAAATTACTATTTTTTGGAAATTTTTGTAAAAAAAAAAAGTCTTATAACTGTATGAGATAAGAATGTAATTAAAAAATATGTTCATTAAAAATACAAATAATTTTTGATAAAAAATGACTTTTCTAACAAAGTGCTCATTGAAAACATAAATTTTTTTAAAGGAAAAATGATTTTCCAAATAAACAAAAATTACTTTCTTCTATAATCAATCTCACACAAAAAAAATTGAAGGCCTTGTTTGATAAACAAGTTTTTTGTCAAGTTTGTCTGCTATAAGTTTTTTAAAAACTTTAACTACAGTAATTTTAAAAAACTTTTCAAAGTTTCTAAACTATATATTTCAAAATATTCAAAAATTTACACATTTTAAAAATTTTTAAAAAACTTTTACATTAAATTACAGTAAAATTTTAGATAAATATTCAAAAAATTTATTTACTAAATGGGGTCAAAGTTTTAGATAAATATTCAAAAAAATTCACTTGTTAAACGGGGCGAAAATTGGTGTTCAGTCTCTGCCCGAAAATTCAAATTTCAAAAATTCCCACTTGGGTCACAGCAAACACCATGATCCGGCGCCCCCACTCATCCCTTAATACATATATATATATATATATATAATCCCCTCCTCACTCTCCTCTCTCCAACTGAGAAAAGATACCGGTTCTCTCTTCAGCCCTGCTTTCTCTCCTTACAGTCGAGCTTTCCTACTCTCGCCCTCTCTAGTTTCAAATTTTTGAACCCAAAACAAAAAAAGATGCGTGAAATTTTGCACATTCAGGGAGGGCAATGCGGGAACCAGATCGGAGCCAAGTTCTGGGAAGTCGTGTGCGCCGAGCACGGCATCGATTCCACCGGCAGGTACAAGGGAGACAACGATTTGCAGTTGGAGCGAGTAAATGTCTACTACAACGAAGCCAGCTGCGGGAGGTTTGTCCCGCGCGCCGTCCTCATGGACCTGGAGCCCGGCACCATGGATAGCGTCAGATCTGGGCTCTACGGCCAGATTTTCCGCCCTGATAACTTCGTTTTTGGGCAGTCCGGTGCCGGAAATAACTGGGCTAAGGGTCACTACACAGAAGGCGCTGAGCTCATTGACTCCGTTCTCGACGTCGTCCGCAAAGAAGCCGAAAACTGTGACTGCCTTCAAGGTACTTCACCCTTGTTTCTGACAGATTCTTTTATGTCTTACCTTCACGCGTTATTTGTGTGTGATTTTAGTGGATCTGTTGATTTTGTGAATTCATTAGTCAGTTTTGCTACTCTTAAGTCTTGGTTGTTTTTATTCCCTCCTTTACTCGTCGTGGCTTCATTCTGATTATCTTTTAGTAGTATGTTTCTGGTTGTTTTCACGACTTGTTTTAAGTATGCTTGCTTGGTTTTCTGGAGACGGAGAGGGAAAAAAAAAACAAAAAGATGCAAAATAATCTAGATCTGATGAAATATACTCATAGTTCTCCAGGTTCTTAACTCGTAAGCCTGGTTGGCAATGGCCTCTTTGTTTAACTTGAAATTGCTGTGTTGATTCGATTTTGTGCTGGCAAAGATTTTCTGTGCTTTCTGGGCGATTTTATTGGATGGGTAAAACCCGACGAGTAACCTATTTGTTGATGTATCAGGATTTCAGGTGTGTCACTCGTTGGGAGGTGGAACTGGTTCAGGAATGGGGACCCTTCTCATTTCTAAGATCAGGGAGGAATATCCTGACAGGATGATGCTCACCTTCTCTGTTTTCCCATCTCCTAAGGTGTCTGACACTGTTGTGGAACCCTATAATGCGACCTTGTCTGTGCACCAGCTGGTTGAGAATGCCGATGAGTGTATGGTTCTGGATAATGAAGCTCTTTATGACATTTGCTTCCGCACCCTTAAGCTCACCACCCCCAGCTGTAAGTCCATTGCATTTGTTGGCAACTACAGGTCTGATTATGACTATTTGTTCCTCCAAAGAAAATTTTACATCGTTGCATATGCAGATATGGTGATTTAAACGTTTAGTGGTTTGCTTGTTTGTCAATGAATCACTATTTAACTGATGACAGAAATTCATGCAATGGGAGACAGATGAACGATTTCAGAATCTATACAGAAGTGTATATGAAGTATCATTTGGAGTTCATGACACTCCATCTGAATCATGAAGTATTATGTGTTGTTTAGCACAAGTGGATCAAATTCAGTTTCTTTTGTAGCTTTCTGTGTCATTTGAACTCAATTTTGTTGATTGATAAGATTGTTCAGAGGTTTTGGTTGAGAGTTAATTTTTTGCATACAAGCAATGATTTTAAATGAGAGTTCCATACTTTTACATCCTTTCGTAAGTATGAAGTCTAATGCTTAGATGCTAGCAGATGGCTATGTATTTTCAAGAAATTTGTAAGTGACAGTTGAGCAAGTGACTAAATTGATATTGCTTTCTGAACAGTTGGAGACTTGAACCACCTGATCTCAGCCACCATGAGTGGTGTTACTTGCTGCCTTCGGTTTCCTGGTCAGCTGAACTCTGATCTTCGCAAGTTAGCTGTCAATCTTATTCCGTTCCCTAGATTGCACTTCTTCATGGTTGGGTTTGCTCCACTCACATCTCGTGGGTCACAGCAATACCGAGCTCTCACTGTCCCAGAACTCACTCAGCAGATGTGGGATGCAAAGAACATGATGTGTGCTGCTGATCCTCGCCATGGTCGATATTTGACTGCTTCGGCTATGTTCCGAGGTAAAATGAGCACCAAGGAGGTTGATGAGCAGATGATTAATGTGCAAAATAAGAACTCATCCTACTTTGTTGAGTGGATTCCAAACAATGTCAAGTCTACTGTCTGTGATATTCCTCCGACTGGTTTGAAGATGGCTTCAACTTTCATTGGAAATTCCACCTCAATTCAGGAAATGTTCCGGAGAGTCAGCGAGCAATTCACAGCTATGTTCCGCAGAAAGGCTTTCTTGCATTGGTATACTGGAGAGGGCATGGATGAAATGGAGTTTACTGAAGCAGAAAGCAACATGAATGACTTGGTTTCTGAATACCAACAATACCAAGACGCTACTGCAGATGAGGAAGGTTATGATTACGAGGAAGAAGACGAAGAGGGTCAGGAAGCTTAAGTAGTTTTAGCATTATATAACATGGATTTCAGTGGTTTTTATGTTGCAAGGTTTCTGTGTTTACCCCTTTGAATACCTGATTTTCGATTGCTGTAGTCTTGCCACTGTTGTGGCAAGTCTCTTGTTTGCAGATTAGTGCTTTTCTTAATTCACCTCTTTTCTGGCTTTGGGTGTTATGGTTACTATCAGAGGTTACAGGTTTTACTGAAAGTGATGTTCATGACACAAAAATTGTTGCTCCTGTGATAAATGATATGCCTAATCTTGAGGGTTATTATGAAGTTGAAACTTAAATCTGTTTTGAGGGAATTTTACTTCTGAAATCTTGGGAGTAGGTGAAACATAAATAAACCACACGAGTCACCGGTATCCTGGAGTCGGTGTCGCATAAAACACGCTTCATGTAATAGTTTGACGAGAGTAATTTTCTCTGGTTCTGAGTCTCTTGGGAATCAACTCCTATAACAAGCTTGGATTGCCTGCTTCTGCCGTTTGGATTTACTCCTATAAACAAGATTGGGTCTGTTTATACGTAGTTTTGGCGACAAAATCCCACACAGTGACCAGACTTGATATGGAGTCTTATTTTCTGTACCGGTGGCAAAAGTCCACAGAATGACCAGAAGTCTGGAAGTTTCAGACATTCAGTACTCCTGCACTATATGTTCTTATTTTTTTTCCTTATTTAAGAAATCAATCAAAAAAAAAAAATTTATCCTCAAGAACCTATAGTAGAAGGTCAAGTTTACTTTTTAGATTAGTTTATCGACTAAATTGGTCAAATTGATCTGAAAGGCTCATTTTAGAGAACCAAGTGACCTTTTCAGTCAAAAAAATTCGATAACTAATTTGTGCCATTTTTAATAGTTCAATAACCACTTTTAACGATTTACTCAACAATGTATCAAGCCTATTGACCCCGTCAAAGAGCTTGATTTACTAGTGGCAGTTGTACGACTTACTCATCATATTCCAAATTCTCATTGTTAGGAAGTAAAATGCATTGTATTCCTCCTATCCAACAAGAATAACTCCACCATCACAATCCGACAAGGTCGGGCATGATTACATTAGAAATTGCCATTTCTCCGTCTTAATGCGAGCCAGTGCTACGTAAGGCCTACCCATCAAGCAACACCCAACCGAAACCTTTGACAGCTGAGAATAAAAATAACCTGGACAAAGCTAAAATGTCTTCTTCTTTTTTTTCACATTTTCTTCCTTTGTACAACAAAAAATTTTCATTCTATGGCGATCTTAATTGGTTCATCAACGTATTTGTGAGGAAGGAATTTGCGTTCTGATTTCGGTACTCAGGAGGGATATTAGCCAATACAACATGAATTTCTTTAGGCTCCAAACTTGGGGAACTTAGCAGTAGAAATCTGTGCGAGGAAATGCTCTGCCACAATTCGCCTTTGGATTTTGCCTGTGGCAGTTTTGGGAAGAGAATCGGTGATAAAAACCTTCTTCGGGACCTTGAACCCTGCAAGATTCGTCTTGCAGTGCCTCGACACCTCACTCTCATCAATGTTAGCCCCTTCTCTGGGGATAACCGCGCAATTAATCTGGAAACACCAAAAAAAAAATTAGAATGTTATCAAAAGAATTAAGACAGAATATGAACAACTCAACAACTATAGAGATGGAGGAAGCATGAATTACTCTACTTCTGTATTAAAAAAAAAAAAAAGGAACAATTGGAGGGAAAATTTTGCGTGCAACCAAAAAATTGGAGTTCAATTGAACCTTCTATACAAATACATGTCAGACATTGTATGACTAGCAGATGGCATCTTTTGATTGAAGCAGATATATGACAGACAACCATCACAACAACATCATTCTAATAGCAGACAAATCAGGCTTCCAGCAGAGCCAAATTCATACCGACTCAACCTCATAAATCCGCTCTCAGAAAAGGACAGGTTTACACAGTAAGGAAAGGAAAGACGGATGTTAGATGTTCTACGATGGAGGGCAGATGTTGACATTGTAAGAGACATGCTAGACAATCAAAGAGTGGGTAGTTACGAGGCTTCGCTAGCCTATGACTACAACAGTGACTTCTAGTATTGCTGAAGCATATTCAGAACTTCACAGGAAACTATAAAACATACTCAGATGACAAAGGAAATTTGACAAAGTAATCGTTCATGAACGCAACCATAAGTCAATCCGAGTATTTTGACAAAAGACTTCTAGGAAATTCAAATAAACTGCCAGATGGAAACCAGACATCAGACAAGTGCACACTTTTTCGTCCTTGGCTAGCTATAGACAACAACAATTAGGTGATTAAAGATTAAAAAGTGACTCAATGACAAATGTCTGACATTACCTCTTCCCCATATTTGTCATCAGGGACTCCAAAAGCTACAGCTTGCGCAACATCTGGATGAGATAACAGGACGGCATCCACTTCAATTGGTGAAATTTTCTCACCTGAAATTGTTTATGTGAAAGACCTTCAGTTTCTTTTCTTTAACGGAGTCATAACACAATCAAGTCAAAATTTCCAGACACCGTATATCGTAAGAAGGAATAGTGCTGTAACAACCATAAGCTAATAAGAACCGTGACACAACCATTAGTTGCATGCTCCATCAGTAAGCTACCAGATCAGGACAGCGGTTAGCAGGTCCAATCTACAACGTAAGACATAACGTCCTTAGTTTTAAACCCCCTGTTACTAATTCAGTAATCTGAAAAATCAAGGCCACCATGGGATGTTAAATTTTAAACTTCACAAATCACTGTTCTGTTAAGGTGACACGTTAATCTTTACACCAACTGAATTTTGCTAACACTTTTTAACATTTCTGCCAAGCAGAAATAGATATAATCAGCCACAATTGTCAAGGTCTTTCATGTCGGGCCCACCAGCACTAACTATCCCACACCTCCAGCCTCCCTAAACTGATATTAAGAAAGTAGCGGTCAAGCTTTAGCAATCACTATCATATGCCCGGATACCCCAGTGATGACAAAAAAAAAAAAAAAAAAAAAAATCACTATCATATGCACCTGAAGTGGCCAATCTTCAACAAAAGCTACATGGTTTAAAAATGAAAATTCTCCTCCTTATAAAATACTACTCTATAATGCATCAAATTGCAAGCTTTGTCTAAAGTGCAAACGTAATAATTGCTTTTAACTTATGCTAAATACCAAACTAATAGCACAAATAATGCATTATTTGCAAAATTTTACCTCCACGATTGATTAACTCCTTAATCCTGCCAACAAGATGCAAATATCCATCCGAATCCAAGTATCCGAGGTCCCCGGTGTGGAACCACCCGAACTGGAAAGCAGATTTATTGGCTTCGGGGTTATTCTTGTACCCTTTAGTCACATTTGGGCCCCTGATACACACCTCGCCGTTGGCATTGGCCTCTTGCGGTTTCCCATTTTCATCCAATATGGCCATCTCTTGACCCACGGGTTTCCCAACTGACCCGGGCACATGCGGGCCATCCTGGGGTAACGGGTTGGAAGCCATCAAATGGGAGGCCTCAGTCATGGCATACGCCTCCAAGACAGGAGCCCCGAAGGCTTCCTCAAGTCGAGCAAGAATGCTAGGAGCCAGAGCCGCGCTGCAGCTCCGTATAAATCTTAACCTTGGGTAAACGGGTTCGGGGCTGTTGAGGTGGCGGTCCAGAATGATTTGGTGGATAGTAGGAACAGCCGTGTACCACGTGGCATTGTAATTCTTCATGTCTGACCAGAAAGTTGAAGCTGAGAATCTCCCAGCAGCCGGGAGGGTCACGGCTCCGCCGGCTCCCACAGAACTCAATAACCCGGCCAACAACCCGTGTACGTGAAAGAGGGGCAAAACAATCACTGTGGAGTCAGACTCAGTGATTCTGTAAACAGATTTAATATTGTTTACGGAGGAAACAAGATTAAGCTGGGTTAACGGAACCCCTTTGGGCCGGCTGGTCGTGCCGGAGGTGTGGAGAAAGAGAGAGATGTCACTGGGATCATTGATAAGTTTGGATGACAGGTTCGGATCCGGCTCCGGGTCCGACTCGTACTGGGAGAGGGAGGAAGAAAGAGCGACATCCGAATCCGCATCGGGTAACGCGACAGTGACGTGAGGAATGTTGAGCTTAGACGCGGCGGCTTGAGCCGGAGCGCTGCCTTGTTTTGAGGTGAGTAAGATCTTTGAGTCGGAGTCGGACAAGTAGAACTGGAACTCGTCAGCCGTGTAAGCCGGATTGAGCGGAGCCGCCGTCGCACGTGCTCGAATTACGGCCAAGAACGCAATCACGAACTGCAATAAGTCAGAAGTCCCCCAGATTGATACGTAGTTAATTATTTAATCATAAAAATCGGAAACGGCAAACTAATCAATGCTAATAATCAGCAAAATATACGCCGCGAAACGGCAAATGAATGAAATAATTGCCACCAGCCTATAAGCAAGGGGACAAATATACCAACAATTCTTGTCTGCGGAGAAAGAACCGATGGAAACAATAGAATTAATTAATTAATTAAATGTTTGGGCGAGATTTTTGAAGCCTCGCCCAACAATTTAATCGTATTGTAACAAATAAAATAATTAATTGTTCTCGTTCTTATACTGGTGCAACTTCCAAAATCAAATACAATATGAACTTTCTAGGATTTTGTCAATCTTTTAGTTCGTCGATTTCAAACTTAATCTGCGACGAGGAAAACAAGAAGTGGGAGTGAAAGGGAAAGGAAATGGACCTCGACGGAGTTGGGGAAGGTGAGAGCAATAACGTCCCCGGGTTGAACACCGGCGGCGACGAGGCGGGTAGCAGTACGTTCAACAAGCTGATGAAGCCTTGCATGAGAAAGATCGAACCTGCCTGGAACCGATATGGCGCGGCGGGAGGGAAATTTTGCGGCAACGTTTATCAATAATCCGGAGAGAGTCAAATTTTCCATGGACAAAAAAAGGGCACAAAAAAAAGTCGAAAATAGAAGTGATCAGAATGATGATGAGTGGGGAAAAATATATGGCAAATAGCGTGTTAATGGAATTGGGGGAGACGATGGTGGCAGTATTTATGCATGGGTATGCTGTTCAATAGACTTTCATGTGGATGGGTATGAACCTTCCTGTAATACTCCTCTACTATTCCACACGACTAGTGCTAGCTGTTGGGGAATATACGGAGTATTTGCAACGCGGTGTGGAACTGAGGAAGGCGAAGCCCAGGTATGTTAGGTACCACACGTGGCACCATCGGGAGGGTTTCGAAGAGTACATCTTTCTCCGGGATGTGTGAATTAGTT